AACCCACCACACTCTTAATTTCATAACGACATATTTGAATGCATTATGATAATAATAAATTGATTATAAAGTATGTTGCCCTATAATGCGGGCAAATGCACTGGAATGCACGCTCAGCTCATCGTTGCTTTACATTGTATATACTATTTTTTATTTGTATTTTTGTATATTTTATTTTTTAAACAACTTTTATATTAATTACAAATAATTTTAATAAGATAATTGTTTTTAACAAAGTTACTTACAATTAATGTTATCAATGATTTTAATCGCGTATTCATTTTTATCGTATTTGTGTTTAACTTTGAAAACAGTGCCAAAACATCCCAAACCCAATGCACACAACTCATCGTAAATACGTTTATAATGAGTTAATTCAACGTTATTTTGATCTAAAAAGTAATTTAAATAAAAATATTATAATGAATTTTAGTTAATAAGATCTAAAAACATACCATATTTTAATTGTTTAATTATAACAAACATTTTGTTAAGAAAATTTCTGCATTTTTCATTAAATTCCTTAAAAGTAATGTAATTATAATCTTTATAATCGCATAAATGTATTGTTTTAGAAGTCAGTTGTATTTCACTTAAACAGTAATCAAATAGATTTGTATAATTAATTTCACACAATTTATTCGACAAATTAATTGTATATAATTTATCACTTGATATACCGACTGAATAAAAATTATCTTTATAGAATGATAAACATGCATGTAAATTGACCATGGTGGGGTAGATATTATTAAATACTTTAATCACTGTTTCATTTATTGAATAAATATTATTATCGTTATAATATTTCCCACAAAAATACACAAATCCATTGTTTGTTAAGAAATACGTTCGACTGAATGCCAAACACAGCGTTTGAATGTTATATAAATTGTCAATAATTTTTGGTTTGAATACATAATCCGATATATTGTGTCCCAAATGGCACTCATTTAAACCCCAACTGAAGACACGGCCATCAGTTGTGACGGCAAACGATGAATGCCGAGAACAATAAACGCCACGTATTTTATATTCAATCCCATTGTTTATGAATTGTATTTTTATTGGAGTTATTATTACACCTGATTTCTGTTCCCCACAACCCGTCTGTCCGTCACTATTCAAACCCCATCCGTAGACACAGTCATCACCGGTGACCACAAGTGAGTGATGAAAACCACAACTAATATCACGGATAACAGGATTATTAGGCAATGATATAGTGTTTGGCTTTAAATATTTTTCAGCTAATGGTCGGGCCAACTGTGCCTCATCATTATAGCCCCAACCGTGTATACAATTTTGGTCATTAATTGACAGAACAAAATCATAACCACAATAAAATTGTTGTATATTTTGTTTGCATAATTCTGGTATAATATGCGGTGTATTGACCGCCCAATTGTGTCCCAAACCGAGTGATCCAAAACAATTAGATCCCATGCCGTAAACCATATCATCATTTGTCACATACAATACATTATAGCCATTGATGTCATCAAATACATGAAATAATTTAATATTATTTATATCTACTATAGAATCGATATTATCATATGCAGGATCAATTGCTAAACTAATATCATGCTCACTTTGTTGTTTTGACTCAGTCTTTCCTATGTGTTGTCTCTCATCTTGTTTATGTTTCACACCAATCATATTGAGTTTATTCAAATGATCACATGATTTATTAATTAATTTATCATCACTTATAATATAGGAATCACTTAATTTACAATTTAAAAACATATGGAAGAATTTGTTTCCATTAGTTTTAAGTCTAATAAGAGTTTCATTGAATTGCTTATTGTTTTCAGTAATCATTTGTCTATCGACTGACCAGTAGTTGTAATCGTCGAGTACTCGACCACTAGTCGGCCGATTGAATGGCATTGACTGAAACATTTGGCCAATTATTTCAAACAATTTGCTGAAATTGGTTAAGAATATGGTTGAATTATACATTTCCATTGGATTCTCACTAAAGAAAGTATTGAATAAATATATTTTTAGAATTAAAGTATTAAATAATTAATAAATAATAGCAAACCTATCGAATAACTCAAACAAATTCATTGCAATCACTCCCAGGCTATAGATGTCTACCTTATTGTTATACCGGCGCTGATGTAATTCGGGTGCCATATATGCATGCGTTCCGACATTAGAGGTGTGGCCAATGGATGTCTTCTTGTGATCGGTAGCCAAACCAAAATCACACAGTTTTATGAATCGATTATTATTATTATTTTGTGAAATCAACACATTTGCCGGTTTGAGGTCCCGATGGATAACCGGTGGACACGAGTTGTGTAGATATTGAACGCTTTCTAAGAGCTCTTTGAATATTTCACAACAAATAAAATACTCGATGCAATCCATCGGGTCTTCCGGTTCTCTCCCAAAGACAATGTGTTTGTTATCAATAATTGTCTGAAGAGTTTGTGTATAGAAATCCATTTGAATGTAAAGACGATTGTTTTCTAACCACGAGTTGCGGTAATTTACCACATATTTTAACCTTAATTTTACTAACTTTTGTACCTCTTTTAGTTTCTCCTGTCGTTGACTATTGTCATAAGTGTCTGCAATACACGTGATGTTAATTATAATATTTCTAGTGATATGCATAAATGAATAATGTCAAATTATTATATTACCAAGCAACTTAATAACTTTAACCGCATAAATCTCTTGTTCAATGTTATGCTTAACTTTATATACATCACCGAAACCTCCGCTCCCAATGTGTAACAACTGTTCAAAATTAGCAGCAAAAAAGCTTTTGCTTAACTCGTTGTCAGGAACTATGAAAATAGATAACATATTATAAGTGCGATTGAAATATGGTAGAAATAATGTGAACATTACCTGACTGCTTAGACGCCATTATTGACAATTTACTCAATTTGCGTTTAAATTTATAATAATTTTTAAGTTTTGTTTAAATTATGAACTTTATTAAAACATGTTATAAATGTTATAATTTCATTAAATGGCAACGAATTTAGTAAGAATATTATAATACCTACAGTTAATCAATAACCATAGTTATAAGTATCTTATAAATTATACATGTATACAATATATAATGTACAACTGTATAACTTACTAGTTTCGTGCCTTTTATTTTTAAATGCATAGAAATCTATTCAATTGACTATAAATTTGGTCATAACTCGGGTGTCTGTGGCCATTGGCACGATTTAATTGCTGAATATTCATCTTGTGGCCACATTATAGACACAAATAATAAACCCGCATAGTATTGGGAAAATACATTGCCACAATTTAAATATTAATATTTTTATTTCTTAAACAAGATATTAAACTAATTAGCAACTAAAGCAACTAATTAGCAACAACTTTATAAACTTTTATTTATTGTATAATAAATGATAAATAAGTGTTTGGTTAAATAAAGATATTGGGATAATTTCATTTAATAAAATATATTGTTAAAAATTAATTTGATAAACAATTTAATTATAGTTTACAATATTTTTCAATTGACTATTTGTTTATTACCATGTCCAAATAAATTAACTATATAAAGTATAATACTTAAAATTAAATAATATAAACTAATTAATTGTAATTGAAAATTAATTTCTAAAAACGAGTAATTTTACCAAATATATTAAGAAAGCATCAAAATTTTTATTACAGATATTTTAATTATTTTAAATGTACAGTTTTTAGCAAAAATGAAGTCAAACAATAAAAATCAAAATAGTATTTGACTATTTTAGCATAATTTATTATAACGACAACTCTATTACAATTAACCATTGTTTGGCTATATTTGGCCCGAAAGCACGGACTGGTGGCCACCGACGAGACCGGACTCACACGACAGGATGTGTTGGAGCAACAGTTGGTGGACATTAGGTTTGCGTTTGTCGTTCACTTGTGTTTTAGTCCAGACTTTGAAACACTTAAAGACAAGTATATCGCCGATACTCTGCCCCAACAGTTGGACGCTTTGTCCCGGTTTTTGGGTACCCGTCAGTGGTTTACCGGTAATCACATTAATTATGTAGACTTAATGGGCTATGAACTACTGGATTGGCTCTGGGAGTTTAGCGTCAGTACTTTCAATAAGTACCAGAATTTGTTTAATATATTAATATAAGAGTTTGATTAATATATTTTTAAAAATATTCTATATACAAATAAAGTAACATTGTAAAGTAAACTTTGTAAAGTAACATTGCATGCAATAAAACATTTTAAATCAATATATTAATAATTCCACTGATATTAAAACATTGAATAAAAATTATATTTAATAAGTAAGGTTTGATGTAATTGGAGAGATAATTAAATTTATTAAAAATTACTTTATATCACCTAGAACCTCCGATTTTGATGATTAAATAATCACAAATTGAGATAGACATAAATAAATATTATACATTTGCTTCAAAAGTAAGTCATTCTTATTGTTATGTTATGCTATGATTGTTGATAATTATAAGAATAATTATTATCTAATAGAATTAATAATTATTATCTAGATAATAATAATTGTATGTTTAAATAATATAGAATATAAGGCTTTATTATTGTAAAGATGGTAAAAAATATTGATAACTTAGGGCTTAACATAAATAAGTCAATTGTAAGCAATGCCCACACATTTGAAGGGACTGATGATATCGTGAGGTTTTCACACAAATATTTTATAATTGTCTCAAAACTCGAGGATTACATGAATGGTGTTTACGATATCCGCCGACAATTGCCGCTAATTATGGCCCGATTTGTGCTATTAGTAGTGGGCGTGAGGTTTGTCGTCTCGGCGGCGGTAAACACCCGTGAAATCCGGGCCATACTGTCGGACTCTAATTATGTGTTCGGTAATCCGCGGGTATTCTCCG